ATAAAACGTCTCCAAGAAAACCACCAAGCCCAGAGAAAACCAAGGACCCCATAATTATTGTTCTCTTCCTCCTCCTCCTCCTCCTCCTCCTCCTCCTCCTCCTCCTCCTCCTCCTCCTCCTCCTCCTCCTCCTCCTCCTCCTCCTCCTCCCTGCAAACCCGACTCCCGTTTGGCACTGATGATGTTACCTAGTTGGGTCATGAAACATCTGCAAGAAAACAATCAATCTCAGAGGGCAGCAAAGACCTCACAGTTCAACCCTGAGCTACGAATGTTCTCTTCCATTAGACTTTATGCTTGCTCCTGCCTTAACAGTGCTCTTTGTGGACACACCATCTTACATCCCTGTCCTGTCATTCCAGTATGCACGGCCCAACCGGCCAGTGTCCACATCCCCGGGTCCTTCCGAATCTCGTTGCCGTCTGTCTAGCAGCCATTTATTCTTGCTATGAAGAATTCATCAACAGGTCAGTCACCTGCACCCCCCACCCATCCCCGGTGAGCCCTTTTGGGGAAGAACCATCAGAGAAGGAAAATGCACTTGCATCAAAATGTGTTAAGCTTTCAGAATCGAAGAGAATGAATGAATGAGCTGGAAGGGACCTTGGAAGTCATCTAGTCCAGCCCCCTGCTGAAGTAGGAGAACTTAAACCAGTGATGGCTAACCTTTTCAACACCAAGTGCCCAAAGTCCATGCACGCATGTGCATCCCCAAAATCCAGTGTGGTGCACATCCCTGTGCATACACCCTGTACAAACGTGTGCATGAATGCGTACCCCCCCCCTCATGTGCCCCACCCCCTGCATGCACTCTGCCTGCCCCCAGCATGTGTGGCGGAGATCTGAAGACCAGCTGGCCAATAGATGCGCATGCATGGGTGGCAGAGCTGGGGTGATGGCTCGTATGCCCGCAGAGAGGGCTCTGAATGCGACCTGTGGCATGCGTGCCATAGGTTCACCATCACGGCCTTAAACCATTTTAGAGAAGAGACTGTCCAGTCTCTTCTTAAAAGCCTCCAGTGATGGAGCATCCACGGTTTCTGATGGCAAGTCGTTCCACTGGTTAATTGTCCTCCCTGTTAGGAAGTTTCTCCCTAATTCCAGGTTGCACCTCTCCTTGATTAATTTCCATTGGTTTTTTTTTGTCCTGCCTTCTGGTGGATTAAAAAATAGGCTGACCCCCCTCTTCTTCAGGGCAGCTGGAATACTGCTATCATGTCACCCCTAATTCTTCTTTTCTTTAGACTAGCCAAACCCAAATCCTGCATCCGTTTTCCATATGTGTTAATCTCCAGGCCTTTTCCCAGCTAGCTCTGCAGCAGAGGTGAAATGCAGCCAGTTTGGCCCAGTTCAAATGAACCGGTCGTTTAAAAAAAAAAATGCTACTGGTTCAGCCAAACCGGTATTTCCAACGATCAGCTGTTCCACGTGATTTAGATTAGCTAGAAAGCAGGAAATCATCAGATTTCTTGCTTTCTAGCTAATCTAAATTGCGTGGCACAGCTGATCCCCTCCCTCGCTGTTGTACTTCCCTCGGAAGGCTTCAAAATGCTTCTTTCTTCAGCACCCAGGAGGCTTCCCTGAGGCCCAGTCGGACAAAAACGGGGCACGGGGGGGTGGGGTGCTGCAAGAGAAAAAGAGGTATTTCTCAATATTGGGGTGAAATCATGAGGAACGGGGCAGATTTGGTATTTTGCAAGCATGATTGGTTGGTACCAGCTCACCAGGATGCTGTTTATTAACTCCCCGTGAAGCCCAAGAAGGCTTCTGGCAAAAAGGCATCTGCTTTGCTTTTCCATCAACCCATTTTCTAGGAAATTGAGTTGACTATCCCGGTGGGCTGTTTATTGAAAGAAACATTGCATCACAATTTTGCATCATCCGGAGGAGAAGGTTGCCTTTCTCCCCAGGATGGCCAAGTTTACAGACTGCCACAAAACGGGGGGCCCCCATTGCAATTCCTTTCGGGAAACATTTGTTTTGTTCTGGTAATATATAAGACAATGTAATTGCAGCTGGCCAAGATTAAAAAAAAAACACAGAGAAAAAGGCACACACAGCAATAAAAAACAAAACGTGGACATGTTGCAAGACTTTGCGAAGTTGTCATGTGGCCTTTCCCCCATTTCTGTTATTTATGTCTGGCAACTTCCACTTACTTATTCTTTCCTGTTTGGTTTTTCTTTTTTGTCTCTCCCCTCCTGCGGACAGCCGGGACAATTCTCCAAGCCTGAAGGAAATTCGGAATGGCTGCCAGCAGCCTTGCGACCGCAAGCCCAACCTGCCTCTTCGTCTTCTCCACACCAGCCCTGACCTGATGTCCCGGGAGGCTACACTGGCTGAATCCCGCCTCAAGTCAGTCATTGTCACGTCCAATGAGATCCACGTTGAGGTGGAACGCAACAACATGGCTAACCAGAAGATGACCGCCAGCGTTGGCAACGACAGCGAGCCCAACCTGATTGACTGTTTGATGGTCAGCCCCACTTGCAGTAGCATTAGCATCGAACTCAGTGCTCAGGCGGACCGTATCCTCGGCTGCTATGTGGAAATACTCAAGATGCTGTGAGTTGCTCTTCCCCCATGGCTTTCCAGATATGCATGAGCACATGTGTGTGTGTATGCACACCCAGTGGGGTTCTTCTCAACAACAGCAACAATCTCATGAGACAAGGAGATAGCATAGTAGTAAATCTAACTGTTCTTCAAGGTTGGATGTTCAACGCACCATCTAATTCTGCTGGTGGAACTCCAAAAATATGGAAAAGATGCTCTTCCCAATGGCTTTCCAGATGGTCCACATGGGTTTCTTGGGATTCTTCTTAACAACAGCAAGAATCCCATGAAACAAACAGATAGCATAGTAGTACATCTAACGCTGTTCTTGAAGGGTGGGTGTTCAATGCAGCATCTAATCCTGCTTGTGGAACTCCAAAAATAGTTGAAAAGATGCTCCTCACTAATGACTTTCCAAAGAGTCCAAATGACTTAATCCAAGAAAGTCATTGTGTGCCTATACATGTGTGTCTATGCACGTGTGTGCATTTCCACCTGTCTTCTTCTCAATATCAGCAGGAAACCCATGAAATAAGCAGATGGCATCGCAGTAAATCTAACACGATTCTTGGGTGTTGGAAGAGGTATCTAGTCCTGCTGGTGGAATTCCAAAATTAGCATGAATGAGGAAAGGGGTCCTTTTCATTTCCATGTTGACTCCTTAGCACATGTCACAGGTAGGGTAGAAGCTGCGTTTCTGTGCTGTTGACAGAAACTCTTGTTCCATTGGAGGATTATATACAGGAACAAATTTGTGTTAAGTCAGCACTGCTTTCTTGCAAACAACAACAGAACTGTGGCTTGCAGGTTCAACAACAAGAAGAAATGGAATTAACATAGATAAAACACAGGGTGGACATAGGTGATTCTTAGGATTTCACCATCAGGCCAGTTAAAACATTGGAAGTCAAATAAACAAAGTTGGACTTGGATAGTCTTTTCTGAGTACTCTCTAAGGTGCTGAAACTATGATTTTCAGAATTTCCATCTAGGGTGGTCAACGACCACGAGTGTTGAATTATTGGAAGTCTCATCTGTGTAACTCCAGGGGCATCAAGTTAAAGAAGGCTGCAAAAGACCAAGGTTAAACTCATGCACAAACACAACATCAAACTATGCTTACTAGAAAAAAAATAGCCTATTCACAGCAGTAAATTCTGCACAGAGTTTAAGCTAATTGTGCTTTTCTAATTACAGGTCAGATTACGAAGATTGGAGACCGGCTCTGGCCAGTTTGCTCCAGCCCATCCCATTCCCCAAAGAGTAAGTTTTCATTTTATGGATGTTTTATTTGCTCTTTTCCCTGGTAGATAGTTTGCATTAGTCAGAACTAACCAATTACTGACGAACTAAGATTTAATAGAAGACTCTAATAGACGTAGCTTATAGCTGATATTTGTCCATAAGTCAGGGAAAATGGTAGTTAATCAGAACAAGATCACATTTGTTTTCTTTATTTTAAATACATATATTTTGTGGTTCTGGGGCATCCTCACTACTAATATTAGTTAGCAGTGAAAACAACTGTTAATTGTTAAAAATACAGTTTATTTCATCTATCATTTTAAAAAAGGATTTAGGGAGAGTCTTTCTATTTTGTTTTGATGCTGTCGCTGTATAGTCCAGTTTATTATCTACAATTCCATTGAAATCTCCCATCATTTAAACTGCAGCCACTAAGGAATTCTTTTGTTGCAATTTACCTTTTCCTCTTAAAAAAAAAAAAGATACTGCAAAGCTGAAAATTAAAATAATTTTGAAAATGTAAAAACAATGACTAGAGTCTTGGGATAATTGCACGAGGACTAACATGATCATCCCTTGAGCTTCTGCAAGATTTGAAAGCTGGACTCCTAGGCTTTCACAGCAGAGGGGTCATTAACTGAGAATAGCAATAGCATTAAACTTCACAGTACTTTATAGCCCTCTCGAAGCAGTTTACAAAGTCAGCCTCTTGCCCCCAACAATCTGGGTCCTCGCTTTACCCTCCTTGGAAGGATGGAAGGATGAGTCAACCTTGAGTCAGTCAGGATTGAACTGTTGGCAGTGGGCAGAGTCAGCCTACAGGACCGGGTGGATGGACTGATGGATGGAAAGGAAGGAAGGAAGGAAGGAAGGAAGGAAGGAAGGAAGGAAGGAAGGAAGGAAGGAAGGAAGGAAGGAAGGGCAATAGTACTTAGACTTATATACCACTTCACAGTGCTTTACAGCCTTCTCTAAGTGGTTTACTCTTGCCCACAACAATCTGGGTCCTCGTTTTACCCTCCTTGGAAGAATGGAAGGATGAATCAACCTTGAGTCAGTCAGGATTGAAGTGTTGGCAGTGGGCAGAGTCAGCCTACAGTACTGGGTGGATGGATTGATGGATGGAAAGGAAGGAAGGAAGGAAGGAAGGAAGGAAGGAAGGAAGGAAGGAAGGAAGGAAGGAAGGAAGGAAGGAAGGGAGGGCAATAGCACTTAGACTTATATACCACTTCACAGTGCTTTACAGCCCTCTCTAAGCGGTTTACTCTTGCCCACAACTATCTGGGTCCTCGTTTTACTCACTTCAGAAGGATGGAAGGCCGAGTTAACCTTGAGCCTGGTGAGATTTGAATTGCCAAACTGCAGTCAGTCAGCAGAAGTACCCCGCAGTACTGCACTCTAACCACTGTGCCACCACGGTCTCAGAGAGGGTTGTCAGACCCACCGAAATCTGCAAAAATGGAGTTCCAGCGTCAGATGTAGATGGAAGGGATTTCCCAAAAATGGAAATTAAAAGTATACAGGGTCATTTGTCAAGAATCAAACGCAAGAGGTAAGCAGTTGCCTCAGCAGACGTATTAGGGGCAAGACTAGCCCCACCGAAGGAAGAAGCATCAAACCACATGTCATCCCGCAAACGTAGTGTTTGAATCCCGCGAAAGAGTTCCTGATGGTCCCTCTGCAGCCTATTAATGACACCAGTGTTTATGAAATGAAGATCTCTCTGCGGGGTGAACATTACGGCCTATAATCATCCAATTTGCCAGCTTAAGCCTCCCTGGGGAGCCTGGCGCCTTGGAAGCCCCCATTTTTTTCCCACCAATGTGCCTGTTCTTCTGAAAGAGAAGGAGAGAGAGGCCCTTGGTGTCATTTCCGCGAGTTTGTTTTTTGTTTTTTCACCAAGGACCCCAGGGCAGACCGAGGATGTGATGCAAGGAGCTCTCTGTGCAAGTGACCATTAATTGCTTTGCTAATGTTAATCAGAGGCAATGGGCCTTAATTGCAGTGCAATTAACAAACACACCTGGGACATGAATCAAGCTGAAAATCCTGTTTACGAATGCGTGGTTTTGGTCTCCTGGACCTAGAAATTTCCATTTGCATCTTTGATGACACACAAGTAGTTTTTCCTTCCTTCCTTCCTTCCTTCCTTCCTTCCTTCCTTCCTTCCTTCCTTCCTTCCTTCCTTCCTTCCTCTCCCTCTCTCTCCCTCCCTCCCTATATCTTAAGGATGGATCAACTCCCTTTAAGCCTCCAGGGTTGCATGGATTGAGGTATGCGGAAGCTATGGACTTGTTGGAGGAAATTTTGAGGCCATTTCCTGTCTTTTTCAAAAATAACTCATAAATGCATTCGGCACACTTGAGTGTGTAATGCACTTACTCATTTCATCATGAAAATTAGCATGGCATTTCTTGTAGTTTGCTTGAGTCTAGAGGTGAAGCTCTCGCCTCACAATCAGGATTCAATCCTAGGTAGAGGCAGATATTTCTCTCTCTGAGCATATTGCGAATATATCACCTACTGAATATAACTCTGCATTGGGGACAGAAAAGGCATCCGGCCAGCTCCCTTCAATGGCCCAGACTCTCCCCCGCAAGGGATTATGGGCTCGTTAAAAGAAGATGATGATGATGATGATGTCTCTTGTAGTTTGCTCAAATTATTGTAGGATACTTCGTTGCTGCCCAATTGTAGATGTTTCATTTTGCAAGTCTCCGAGATGCTCATCCAAAGAACGCCAATTGCCCAGCCTTACTCTTGATGTTATTAACTTCAATTTAGATCAGGTTGAGTTGACTTTGGGTCATAGGCTCTCTGGGATGATGATGGTCAAGAGGCTACAGCCGGTAATTGAAGCTCATCCTATTAATCTGAATGTTGAGTCACGGCAACTGGACTTATTTCCTTGACATTTTTCTGCCCATCCAAGCAGCTTCTTAAGCCTGAACAAGTTGGCTAATTGAATCTGGAGAAAAAACCTTGAGGTTGGGGCGGGAATGGCCCTAAGATTTTTAGGAGTTGGACAGTTTAATAACGCTCTTGTTCAGACTGAAGAAGCTACTTGGATAGGCAGCAAAATGTCTTACACAAATAAGAAAGTAAGTCCAGTTGCCATGACAATTCTGCCTGGATGACGGAGAATCTTCATCAACATTCTAATAATGTTTTTCTTACTGAATTCCTCATTTTACTTCCCATCTCCTCACCAATTAGGGGACAGACTCAAAAAAGATGACGATAACCAAAATTCACTGAATTGGCTTACTTCTGGTTCAGTTTCTCACATCTTCATAAACACATACCTGGACTGATCTTTTTGGTGCTCAAACCATAGTTCTCTAAAAGAACAAATTCCTAAGCATGAAAACTCCCATCAGGTCTGCTTTCATCATGAAAAAAGCTGGTGTATCTCAGGATAAATAATATTAGAATAGTGCAAGGCTTCAGATCTTATTAGGAAGTGATCTCTGAAACATGTAAATCATAAATGCAATTTCTGTATGTGGCTCATTAAAGCACCTGGGTAGCTGGGCAGATGCAGCTACTTTAATGAATCTCAAAAAAGTTTCATGTTTGCATTCTTCTGCTTTAAAGTGCTCCTTCTGAATTGAATCCCAAGTATCCTAAAACGTAATCAACAAATTGGAAACCCTTTCTATCAAGGGATTGTTGATCCAAAGGTTGTTTTTGTTCAGATTTACCTTTGTTTTTAGCTTTATTTTGTTTTATTAAAAGATTGTTTCTCCCTCTCCTTCCATTTGTTTTGTTCAGTTTGAAATAATGCCATGTCCTAGCAGTGTCCCCCAAAACATAATGACTCTCCTTAAAGCCAGTGGCCAAAAAAGGCTAGGATGATGGGATTAATAGTCTGAGCTGAGAGGACAAGAGACAGTGTAGCTTCTAAGTCATTTCTTGACATGCATTGGGCCTATGGGTTTTGTATTATTATTATTGTTGATGTTTTGGGGAGGGGAAAACACCTCCATAATAATTCTGTGTTCTTATTTCAGAGCTCTGGCACACGAGAAGTTCACAAAGTAAGTGCTTATTCGCTTGAAATTATCTCCTGTAGTGATGTAAAGGGGTTGATCCAGCCTTTCACAACACAGATGTTTCAAAACTTTGCGATAGACTCTTCGTTGTAAAGGCTAAAAAGAGACCTCAGCCACCCGCCACACCTCTGGGCAACTCAGAATGCAGCTCTGGATCTCAAAAAAGATCACACTTCCCTCAAGGGAAGTTGATGTAGTTTATGATGCAGTAGCATCCAGTCTGGACTGTTACAGCATTTTCTTAGCTTGGACTATTTTGGCTCCCAGTTCAGCAGGATCGAATCTTAGCTGGACTATTTTGGCTCTCAGTCAGGAAGAGAGGTTCTAGACTAGCCATTTAACTTTAATACTTCTACATGCAAGAATTTGTAGAATCATAGGTCTTCACAAGACATTTATAAACGAAGGAGAATAGGACAAGAAAATCCTGCTTATGATGCTACCTAGTCCGGTAACGAAGCTAAATTGAAACAAGCTTGGAGAGCCAACCACTGCCAAATTAGGTCTTCTTGTCCAGCTCTCTGCCCAAGGCAGAAAATCCTCATCCCATCCTGGACAAACGAATCAAGGATTCCAAACATCCTCCTTCCCACGCATAGAATTCCCCCTTGGCTTACACCCAAAGGTTTATGGTCTTGAGAGGTCTCCAGCTGTGGGTTTGTCTGGCTAAAAGAAGCTGCAAAACGGGGAAGGGATCTCCAGGCGTTCGAACGCCAGCGTTTTCCAATCCCCGAGGATTAAAATCCTTACGATCATGGATGATTTCTAGGCTGTTTAGAAGACCTTTTCCCACTGTGAAAAGCCCCAGTTCATTAGAACGTAATCGTCCCCTCTACGGTTCCTTGTAACTTTTCACTTAGCACATAATCAAAATGAAATGCAACAGCTGTACTCTATTTCTTTGGAGATGACCAACTGCATACTTCTGCTTCTCTCTCTCTCTCTCTCTCCCCCCCTCCGTCTTTTTTTTTTTTTGTCTGTTTCCAGGGAGCTGAAGTACGTCATTCAAAGATTTGCAGAAGACCCAAGACAAGAAGTAAGTTTTCCGTCCAGCATGGCCCCAAAAGAAAGGGAGACCGGCTGTTTGTCAAAACATTCAGGCTATAAATTGCTTGGAGTTCCATGATGCAGTCAGCCTCTCGGCTTTGATAATGGTTCCTGAAAAGACTTTTTGGAGCCTGTTGCTGCCTTCTTATAAATGATTTCATGCCTCTTTGTGTCAACATGAAACACGGTTTGGATGTCTCAGAACTTTGGCTGGAATTGCTGCATCTGGAACATTCAGTGTAAAATGAATGCTCCAGACAAATGCTTTGCGTCTCTTGAATAACCGGGACTGAACATTTGAACTCTTGCTTATGTCATAAAAATGCCCGTTATTGTAATGGTGGCATGCACAAATGGAGGGTGGGTAGTTATGTCCACATTGGTTACAGGTGTGGATGGATAGGTGGGTGGGTGGATGCATAGGTAGGTAGGTAGGAGGATGGAGGGTTGGATAGGTGGATGCATAGGTAGGTAGGTAGGCGGATGGATAGGTAGGTAGGTAAGTGGATAGGTGGGTGAGTAGATGTATGGATGCATAGGTTGGTAGGTAGATGGATGGGTAGGTAGGCAGGTAAGTGGATGGATGGATGGATGGATAGGTGGGTGGGTGGATGCATGGATGCATAGGTTGGTAGGCATGTGGATGCATGGATGCATAGGTTGGTAGGTAGATGGATGGATAGGTAGGTCGGTAG